CCTAAACCGTCTTTTTATCCCCCCTCACCACGCCTGCTCAATGTTTCATTCCGGGGCCTTTGCCGGGAGTTCGAGCAGGTCTGGATTCTCTCGGTTTGAAATATGCCTTGTCCCTTTTCCTTCATTTCTCCTTATCTGGTTAGTGCTGGCTGTGGGCCTGCTGAGGCGTTGATTTGTGGCCCTCTCTGTCTGCGGCGGCGGAGGCTTTAATGCAATGCATGCCTCTGCCCTTCTCCCTGCTGATGAAACGGGCCCCTGCATTCCCCTGATAGACTGCTAATTTGTATACTAAACTGACAGGCAGCCGTGATAAGGGCTAGCAACTGCTGCACGGCCACAGGGGGGAAGGGCGGGTGGTGGGGGTTGCGGTAAGCGAGACGATGGGTAATATTTTACACAAAGCTCAAGCCCCCCTCCCCCCTGCTCCTCTCCCGGCATTCATATCCCTACGTATGTTGCTAGGGGGAGAGGGAGCAAGAGTGTGCTGCACGCATACACTCACATGCTATCTGTTGCCTATGGAAATGGCTCTTGAGTTAATTGAGGTTTGTGTTTTTTTTTTGTGCGAGACCACTCCATCCTACACGGCCACTGTGCAATTCATTATCACCTTAACGATGCTGAGGCGAGTTCCCGTTGGCTGACAGTTGCGTGGGAGGCTTCTACTCTCTTTTTATTTATTTTTTCCGTTCACGCCGCACATCTCATCCTGCTCGCTGGGGGTTTGCAGGGTAACTGGCACCACACCTGTTCTGACGAGCGGGCGGCAGGGTGGCGGCGGGGAATTGGATACATACCGCTGCTGCGGCTCATAAAAAAAAAAACGCTCGGGAGGTTGTTATGTTTTTTTTACAACGTCGCGCGAGGACAAATGCAGAGGGGATCATTAATTTTGTGTCTCCTGTTGCAGCCCCAGAAGCCGTAGGTCCGCTGCGCGACGTCTGTATCTATTGTTAAAGCAGCATTAGCGGACGTCTGGGGTGAAAGGGCGACAGCGGCCTGAGTGGGTGCTGATAGAAGTGTTTATCAAAGCACCGACCTACTCCCACGCGAACAGTGAAAACCAGGCCGCTGCCGCGGTTTGACTGACGGGTGTTTTTTTTAACGATATCAGTGCTGATAAGCTCCTTTTCATCAGTGTTCAAGATCATTGTTTGCCCCTTTTTTCTACACAGAAAGCAAAACCTACTCAATCGCGTAGAATCGGAACATCTTTTGTACTGCCGGTTGAATGTGTTGATGTTGAAGATGTTGTTGCCTCGTATTTGGTTTGTGGTGTCTTAAGTGTTAAGATTGCCACTTTACTGCTTGTCCTACGATAATCTGTCAAAAACATAGCATGCGCCGAGTGACTCACAACTAAATTGTAATTATAGTCTTTGCAGACATCAGCCACAACAAAGCCTACTTACAGGTTTCTTTGTTTTTACACTACAGCTATTATGATAACGCTGCCAGTCTATAAAAGTTCAATCCCTACCGAGGAAGTGAAGGGCTTTACGTGCTCTGCGGGGAAAGTGAGGGAACGGATGAGGTCTTTGGTTTTATTTAGTCTGGGTATACCTAACCTCTGGCTCCAAGATTTCTTCCTGCTTGGAAATAATTCACTCGGGTCCAAGGAATGCAAGGCATGCAACGGGAGCTCTCAGATCAAAGGTGGATGGACGGCCCGGGGATCGTTTGATATAAAGCAGGGAGTTCGGTTGGTGGGGGGGGGGGGGGGTTCTGGGCAGAGAAACTGGTGTCTCAGCGGTCCTAAATGAGGTTAATTGAATCTGGGTAATTGCTGACCTCCCTGTCTTAGTGAAATCACAGCCTTAGCTGATCAACGTCTTTCATGAATTTATGCCTGAAGGTCATTCTGTTGATTATAAAGACCTCCCTCGCTGCATGCATCCTCCTTCTCCGTCGCCCCGTTGTACTTGCATTAAGCACGGAAGCGTTTTAACAAAAGCGTGTCTCAGATGTTCTAAATTAATTAGCTTGCCGTGTTGTTAAGTAAAAGCGATGTGTACATGGTAAATGTTCTCCCTCCCTCCAACCCCCGCTTCTCTGCTGTGACAGCAAATGCATTTTGCCTCGCAGTAAATGTCTCACTTATTGCTAGCGAAGGTTTCTGCCTCTCTGCTTTCGCTCCGCGGCTCTGCTATTATCAAGGGATTCAGGCAGCCAATAAGTCACTGGTGTTCAGGGAAGTTGGGGACTTTTTAAAACAAACAGCAGTGTAATTTGTAATTTGGCATTTGCTAAATCTGAGAATTATGCTTCTGCATGTTGCTCTTTAGGGAGTTCGCACTCTCCCATTGATGCAGGGTTTACTGGCCCAGCTCCCTCTTTGGCCTCTTTTTTCTTTCACCCTCTTATTATTTTAACGCCTGCCGAGGAAACGGAAGGATTTCACAGCTGCTGAGAGCTGGGCCCCGGCTGGGCCCTATGACCTCCTTCTTGCTTTCCCCCCCCCCTCCCTCTGTCTCACTCCTTTTTCTCCCTCTCTCCAGCAGTCTCTTTCCTAAGGGAGCTCTTGTGTGGCTCAGAGGAAGCTGAATCATAAAGCATGGCTAATGAATAGAATAGGGAAGGAAAGCTGAGGGCTGCTGACGGCCCTCCAGAGGGGAGGCGGGCCCCCTGAAGCCCCAGGCTCAGATAGCAGACGGCCCCCCTCAAAGGTCAGCCTTCCTGCGGCCCGCTCCAAGCGCTTTTGGCTCCCAGGCAATGTGGCTTGAATTTACCCCATTATTTCTTTTTTTATGTTTAAATTTCCCTGTTTCCTTTGGAAAAGGCGGCCTTTGTTCCTCTTTTTTTCTTGGTCCGTCTTTTTTCCTCTTAATATATTTTTCCTGTCTCGTCTTTCCCTGTCTGTTTTTTATGGCAGTCAGGGTTGCCTCAACAAAGAGAGTGTGAAGAATTTGTTATACATGACCTCTGTACACCGCAACCGCAGGCAGCTCGCGCTGCCAGCAGCACAGCCCCTTGAAAAAATGTCAACTTGACCAGTGAAACCCACAAGTTCTACAAAAACAGCTCACCAAATCAGGGCTCTGCTTTGACATGCCTCTTTAAGAAGTGCTTTTGTAAGGCGGCCTTGTAATTGTGGATCATAGGACTGAGTCATGCAGACTTGGCAGGTGTAAGCCACCGCTTTAAAACTTAGATATTGGTTGTTTAAGTTACTTGGAATATGCTTGGAAAATATACGGGTCACTGCACACTCAAAGAAAAGGAATAAGGAGAACTAGCTCCTCTTGGCACGGGGCAAACACAGCATTTTCTGTTCTCTTTCTCTGGAACGTTGTGTCTGCATTGCTCTCTGGATAACCACCCAGGTCATAACAGTTGTTTTAACTGCCGTACTGAGTCATGGCATGACCTACCCTGTCTCTTTTTTTTTGCTTCTGTGACCCCGTGCCGCACTAAGCAAGTCCCTGAGCCAGCTCCCGTGTCCATTTGACAAGCTTCATTTCATTCTGAGCCCGCATTTTCTTCCAGGGCCTCCGGGGCCGTGATTCAGGGCTGAGGTTGCGCTGCTGAGGCTTGGTACTGGAGCGTTTAATGTCGTCCAAAGCTAACAAAGAGCCTGTGTTGTAGCCTGGCGCCCGGTTCTGGGAGACTGAAAGCGGGCAATGCGCTGCACTCGCCTCGTCTACTGTAAGAGGAAACAGGAAATATCTCCTTTCAGCCGAGTCCAGCTTTGCCCTACATTAAAGGTTGTACTAAAGAGGTGTTATTGACCTCTTCCGAGGTTCGCATCAAGCAATTGACCTTCCTTAAACACAATGCTTGACATTACATGTTGGCATGATTCATATTTAAATGATCCAGCTGTGAGGCCAGCGATCTTATCATTGTTGTATTTACCTTATGGGTTGTGTCCATAGTTATCAACGGATCATTTTACGGCGATCTTTCATGTTCCCTGCCGAGACAAAACGTTGCATCATGCTTTAGTTGTCTTCCTTTGTGGCTTTTATCAGTATTTTATATGGCCGCTCTGTGAATTAAGCAAATTGTTGAGAGGATCAGACAATCAGACAAACACGGTGGAAAAGAGTAACGCAGTGGCAGGGAACAAGAAATTGGGAGGTCCTGGAAAGAAGAGGACGTCCTCAAAACACTTGTGGAGAGCTAACACGGATGCCAAGGACAGCCATCTGTGTTTACAAAATGATTTGCTTTCTCTTTTTGTCTCTGTCGCTCTTGCACTCGCTCTGATTCACTGCTCATTCTTTACATATGCTCCTTTTGTGCAGCATAAAACACATGCAAGGCAGTTAAGGACTCTCGGGCCCTTTGGGCAGAACATATGTTCAGCTCTAGCTTATTTTAAGTGTGCAGAACCCAGATGAGAGGCGAGCAAAGCAGAGGGAAATCTTGTCTTTAAAGGCAGAAACCGGATAAAAACGAGCCGAAGCCGGATTTTTCTTTGTTTATTATTTAATTTCGGGAGCACACCCAGTTTTTCTCTACAGTACACGTCCATACGAGTAACCAACTGTTTTTTCACCCAACAAACAATCATGCTGTTCAGCTGGCATCTGCTTACTTTCCAGTATGGGCCGGTTTTACAGTATAACCGCATCCTCTGCATGTGATTGGTTATTGTGTTCAAAGATATCGCGGAACAGAATGTGGCTTCTGAGCGGCAGGAGCCTTAGACAGCATTTCTTCTGAGGATTTTCAGGTGGCACAACAGTGCCACCTAATGTTGCCTTGACAGGAGAAAGCCCAACAGGGACCTTCAGGTAGAGAAGGAGCTCTTCTCCGTGGATGATTTAGTATTTTGAAATAGCAGATGGACTTTTCCTCCAGGCCCAAGCGGCCACATTTGTGGTTGAATTGGACTTTTAGCAGAGAGACAAAACGCATGTCGGTTCTTGCAGTACTTTGATGAATTTTGATGATGAGAATATTGATATTTTTTATTATTGGATTGACCAAACTTGTTTACTGATTCAGCTAATCTGACAAATCCACTCAAGGTCTCCCTTTTTATTGTTTTCCAGGTGTCTGATGTAGGATCGGAGAAGCTCTTTTCCCCCACCGCACCCAAAGGTAAGAGCCTGCACTGTTCTCGCTCGCCATTAGGTCTCCCCTGTTCTTCCTCAGTCACACTAATAACAACAAATTGTGTTTTCGAATGAGTCTAAATCTCCTCCACTCTAATCCTGCAGCTGCCATTTAAATTTAAATGTCAGTAGATATAAACACGGTCTGGTGACTACATATGCATACATTTTTGCCTAAGCACAGAGTGGCGTTTGCTGGACGACCCCGCCAAAGGCTTAGCCCTCCTACATATTGGTTCATTAGAGGGGATTTACAGCCTCCCTGCCACATGCTCCCACAAATGGGAACTTCCCTCAGGCAATACAAGCTCTCTGACAGCAGGCCTGGACCATAATATATGCCAAAGGAAAAAGGGAGAAAGAGCTTTGTCAGCCACCCAGACACCATAGACTCAGTGTGGTGTGTTAATATATGCACATATACGGATTATAAAGGTTTTGCATTTTTACGTTCATGCATCATCTCACGTGATTGTGTGCGTTTGTGTGTCCATGTGCGTCCAACCACCTACACGTGTTGTGGTGTACGCTATCTTGGTGTAGAATGTCTGCACCTGTATATTCTCCAAATGATGCTAGCCAGGTCACAGCGAGGGGGTTGTGTGGGGGGGGGTAAAATGTGTCAAGCGGATGCAGGGAGGCAGGGAAGGGAGAGGCGCGATCAGCCGACTAGTGACAGATAGCAGCATGCAGACCACGTCCCCCCCGGGCAGGAACCAGGAAGCCGGGGCATTAACACAGGCTGAGGGCGAAGGAGATGGAAGGGCAGAGCAGTGTTTACTGAGGTTATATGAGGAGAGTTTGGGAGGGAGGGATTTCTGCTGGACAGACTGGACAAAAAAAATCTTTAAAAAATCTGTTGAACATCTTCAGAGAGTATGGTAGCACTTTTTATATATTATTAGCACCGGAATAAAGGTACTTGTTAGCAGCAAAGGAGGGGCATCAGTCTAAATGTACCTCCTGCCTTTTGGTAACAACAATTGAATCCACCATCACATGACAACATCCACTGTGAAAGCGACATTTTCTCTAAATGGAATATGACGGGGTTGCTTGGTTTAGCACAACGGTTCAGACTGCTAAGTGGAACAGCATGGCGGACAAGGAGGAGGAAACCAGGCTTGGCGGCTGTGTGATGGAGATGACCTGTGACCAGCGTCAGCCTCGTGAAACCGGTGTTCACAATGACTTCCAGACTCGCATGGTTTAGAAGATAACTAGGCCGTATCCAAACCCCCTTTCTATTCTCCATCAAGCAGGTGGGCTGCTGCTGCTGTCAGGATGCCTATTTTCCCTGCATGTCCATACAGAACATGGCTGCATGTGAACTCTGCTGTGAAGAACTGCTAGTACATACACACTCAAATACCCCGTCCATGTCAGCTGGCAGACCAAGGGCTCTGAGGATCTTGCTAATGTGCACACAAGGCTGAGGATTAGGACTTTGGAATTACATCCAGACAATCCAATCAGTCTCTCAGGAGTCTCTCCTGATTGTCACACAGATCATCCAGATCCTGTTTGGGTAATGTGTAAGAAGGGCACCAGCTTAGAATTAGGGGTGAGAAAGGGTGAGGCAGAAGAGAAATAAACAGTTTGATGAAGTGATTTGGTGACTATGTTATCACGCTACAATGGCGGAGCTGCCCCGAGCCGGCTCTTTTCTTCCATTCCAATGTTGTTTTGAGCTGTAATGGATTTGAGGACAGTGTTTGTTTTTGGCCTAAACTGTTTCGTGTGTATGTGTGTGTGTGTGTGTAGTGTGTATAATACAAAGCAGCCCACAGGGCTGTTTTCTTCTGGTTTAGAATGCAGCGAATGTGTCCCATTACCGGTCTCGCTCACGGTCCTGTGGGACCAATGAAAAGCCAGCTTTCCTCTGATCACCAGGCCTGTCGTGCTGTTGGCTTGGAGACACTCACAGATGCACACACACGCACACAAACATCATGGCGCACATAAATATATAATGCTGTGATGATGTTTGGCTTGTACATTTCTCTAGGTAATGAGTGTTATTTCAGCTAACTCCTCCTTGCCTTTCAACACAGTGGCCCTTTCTGAACTTTATTTCTGTGAGCAGTTACGACTACAAACGCTTGATGTTAGGCCCAAATTGCCCACAGTCTGTCATGTTAATGAAACGGTCCAGGGTTAATAGAGGAGAGGAAAGACCAACATAGTAATCAGCGACGGCAGAGTGCTGTAATTATTCACACAGAACATGGTTTTGGCCAAAACCCAGACACCGTTGCCGTCTCTCTCTCATATTTGCGCTTGGTCGACTCCACATCGCAAGCTTACAGGACTGATAAAACAAGCTAATCGTATCTGTAATAACACACTGCACTGTGCGGCTCTCCTTGGCTCTTGTTACCTAAGAGCGACGACTAGTTCTGCTGAAGGTCTGTCTGTGCTGGTGAGGGAGGAAGGTACAGCAAAGGGCGAGTATTACGCAACAGTTATTTGTTATTGTTTGTTTGTTTCCAGTCTTAAACCTCCTGCAGGTTATTGATTTCCTGGAGGATGGCATGTTTAAGTAAAGCGCTCTGAAGACCTATGCTCCACTCAGATGCAGCTCAGAGTGGAGCGTTTTCACTTGCTTGAAGGCGACTGAGAAGCTAAATGTAGCTGCTGAGGATGCACAGGGCACCTCCACAGAGCCCAGATAAACACCTCGCTGGAAGGCCGTATATATAACATCTCACAATGCAAAGCTTATGGAAGTGGTGGGGAGTTATCACCCAGCTGTCAGCAGCTAGAAATATCTGAGAAGGACACTTTGCCATCTTCAGTGACCATGTTGAATGCTGTGTCTGCGGGTTTCCTGCCCCCTCGAGCCCTCGTGCTGCTCTCCTAGCGAGGTGCTACCTGCTGTAGTGAGCGGGTGAGCCTGTGCGGTCCATCAGACAAACCTTGGGCATCTTGGGATAGCAAGAGCAAGATTGGTAGAAAACCCATTTCTGAAGTGGATTTGTGCCCTTGTAATCCTGATTAATTTTGACCCGTTGTGCTCATTTTAAACAGAGCATTACAGTAAGCGTGAACACAGCAAGCTCCGGGGCGAAACCAGGAGCTTAGCGGCTTTGCGAGGCTTAGCTGCAGATGGCATTTTAAGCCGGACTTAATAAATTGTTTCCATTAAACTTACCGGCCCACACATACTGGATTAGACCAGAGGAACAAAAGAAGGAGAGCGTGCAGACGAAGAAGAGGGGGGGAAGAAAGGGCACACACACAACTAACAGCATCCACATCTGACTCTGTTAACATCTCTCTGAGGCCACATGAAAGGTGAAGACGAAGTTAGTGTGGTGTTCAGGGAGATAGAAGCTTTTGGACATGAATAAAAATCCACTCACTTTAGATCTCTCGCTCGTCAGGGATGTTGGACCAATTTGCCTAATTGACGCAGGAGTAAACAAACAAAAAAGATGCATAAACCATTTAGCTTGCCAGTGGATTTAGGGCTTATCCTCTAACTGTTTATATATAAACACATTAGCAATGCTGTAGCTTAAGGATTTAGGTTCTGGCCATACCCTTGTCTTTTTTCTTCTTTTGAGCCCTTTTTCTCATATATCAATCTTCTATTGTAGGAAATCAATTCCTTATGGTTGAAGCCCGCCTCTCCCCTCTCCCCTCTTCCCTCTTCAATCCGAGACCCACCTCTGTCATTCCTCCCTCCCCCATCAGCTCATGGCATGCTCCCTAAGCTCTCATTATGTGCTACACAGTCCAGTGTCCCCGTGTCGAATCACTAATCAACCACTGTGGGTGCAGGCTGCTCTCTCAATAGGTGCTGAGTGGCCTTTGTTCCACCACTGCTGTTTGCTGCACGTCAATAAAATAGCAATGGCCTCCTCCTCCTCGTCCTCCTCCTCTCAGTTACCTGGGCCAGCCATGGCTACGGGCCTGCCCCTACTGTACATGCTTCCAGTAAAATGAAACACCGTCCCACCTGCTGGACTCTGAATGCCGGAGAAGGGGAGGGAGGCTGGTGATTTTGAAAAGGAGCGGCAAGGTCAGGCGCAGAGGGGATTGGGGGGCATATCAGCCACAGTGAAGTCGTTGATAGAGCATGTTTGTATTCGACTGGGCAGCTCTCCTCTGGCCAGGTCACTGTAATGTATCACTAACCTCGGCAGGCGGCCCGACTGTGTGCAGCCTGTCACCCATTAAATAATGAATGGGGGGTTGACCCTCTGACCAACTAATCAGCTTTTCGCCACTGTTGAATCAGGATTGAGTGGAGGTGGATGAAGAGTGTTGCTGGCTGGCTGGATGACTGCATTGCAGACATGTTGTTGTAAAAACACAAGGGCAGGAAGGACTTCCCAAAGCCAGATTAGCAAACGCTCCCATTGAAAGTAGGCAGTGGAATTTCTTTGACAAAAATCCAGGCAGCTTGCAAGACATCAAATAAACCATCCCTTTTGCCTGCAGCGCCATTTCACTTGTTACTGAGCTTCAACGGTAGTTTGTGTGTTCTCCTCATTTCATTTAAATATTCAAACGGTACAAACTCCAAGCAGAATAAATAGAGCGGATAACACTCTCAGGTTGGATAGAAAATACTGGAGGGAAAAAAGAAGAAGAAGAAAGAATATGGCTTGTTTCTTTATTAATCTCTGCGTTATTACTTCTCACAGCAGTTTATGAGCTGGCTGATTCGTTTTTTGAAGAAAAGGGGCCGATATCAATGTCCCCTTTATAGATAGTGCTCAAGCTGTTTGTGAAGCCATCCCTGTCAGAAAGATGAAAATAAATAGGGGAAGCCTGGCGGAGAGACAACAGGTGTTTAATTATTAATTGAGCCATTACTGACAGAGATTGCCTTTTTTGATTTAAAGCAGGAAGACCTGCTTCAGGGACAGAAAAAGCAATTACAGAATTCCCAGCTTGCACCGCCGCTGCCCAGCGTTTCACTATACCCTGCAAGAGAGGAGTGAAAGGAGACAAAACACTCCCACACACACATGC